GGGGGGGGGGGGGGGGGGGCAACGGGTGCCACGTGTGTTTTTGGTGCTGCTATGTTCCCCGACGCCCCCCCCCCCGCAAATGGAGGGTACATTGGGGCCTGCGGGTTGGGTTTGGGGCAGTTTGGTGGGTGGTGGCCCATCCCGCCCCACCCCCACTCCTCCACATCCACCTCCGTTGCCCCGTCGTATCCGAGACCCTGAAACTGGGGATCTCGATGGATGCAGGGCCCGAAACCCTGAGACTCGCGCTGCAAACCTCTGCGCGGCCTGGCAGGCGCGGTGGTGCCAGGCCCTTGCCAAGCATCCACAGCAGTGAGGGAAGAGGCAAGGGTGTCTTACAGAGTATGCACGAGAGTCGAACAGAACCTAACCATGCGATGTCATCCGTGGCCTCGACAGCAAACGCACGCCAATACTATCCAGGCTCATCTTAGGTCGTATCGGAGCACAAACCGTGTGCAAATCCTGGACCCAGGATGGGCCTCAGAGTAGAGCCAACGTATCGCAGAGGTCCCCCGATGTCCCCAGGATCCTCGAAAGGGTGAGCAACAGCCACCTATCCTGCACAACGTCGTCCATCCTCCTCCGTGTTCCTGCTCAATTCCCCTTCCTTCTGAAACATTTCCCCCTGCCACACCCCGAGGCCAGGCGGACCAGGCGTTTCGCCCGAGACTTCCTCACCAGTTATGATCCTGAAGCTCCAAAGTTGCAACAACTTCACGGATTTAGGACGGGTGGTGTTCAGCATGTGGCTTTCGCCTTAGCGCCACGCATATCCTTTTTCAACATTGCAGAATTCTACGTGTAAAGGGCGTATGTGTTTCGAACTGTGACTCTCGCCTTAGCGCCGCGCACATTCGTTTTCTTGGTTTACAAGTTGCAAGAGCTTCACGGATGGAGGGCGGGTCGTTTTCAGATGTGTGGCTCTCCCCTCAGCGCCGAACACACTCGTTTTAACAAGTTGCAACAGCTTCACGGATGGAGGGTGATTCCTTTTCAAAATGTGGCTCTCCCCTTAGCGCCGCGCACATTCGCCATAAGAGTTCACGACAGTTTCAAGGAGTCGCGTGTTTCACGTCCCAAGAACGGTGTGTGAGCACGATGTCGTCAGGGCGCCACAGTTACGTTGATTCGCAGTGTTGAAGTCCCAGAAATGATGTTCTGGCACGACTCAGGATCGTCAAGACGCAACAGTAACGGTGATTCGCGGCGGCGAAGCCCCAGAAATGGTCTTCTAGCACAGGGCAAGATTTTCACACGGTCGTTATCCAACGGTCGTGCAGTAAAAATGAATCCTTGTAGGGACATATGAAGAGGGAGCTTGTAGCGAGGGTGTATTGCAACATCGTTGAAAAGTCCCTCCTCCTCCTCCTCCTCCTCCTCCTCCTCCTCCTCCTCATCCTTCTTATCCTCCTCCTACTCCTCCTCCTCCTCCTCCTCCTCCTCCTCCTCCTCCTCCTCCTCCTCCCTCACCTTCGCCATCGCAGCCCGCACCTCATTGTATCTCCACCAGCGTCATCACCACCACCATCATTATATCCATCCGCTTACGCATCCTCCTCCTCATCCTCCTCCTCCTCCTCCTCCTCCTCCTCCTCCTCCTCCTCCTCCCCACCCCCCCGAACGAAGTGGAAGGAGGCGCGGCCGAGCAGATGCGGAGCTCTCACGGGCAGCCCCCCGCCCCATCCCCGCGAGGCCTCCTGGTCGAAAACTGCCAGGATGCGGAGGAACATGTCCACCAGGGCAGGGCCCTGGAGGGGGGGGGGCACAATGATCGGCTTGTTTTCCACCACCACCACCACCACCACCACAAGTTGGAGGGGAAAGGAGGAGGAGGACGACGACGAAGAGGAGGTGGAGGAGGACCCCCTCCCTCTCCTACCTACTGTGGTGGTGGTGGAAAACAGGCCCATCACACCAAAGACGCACGCGCCCAACCACGTGCATCAACACGGCCCCCCAGTCCGCGAGACCAGCCTCGCGACACGCACGCTCGCGTAGCGCCCACTCTCGAAACCGGCGAGGATTCGTGCACGCGCACGTCCTGCTCTCGCTCCCGCTGGGGGGGGGGGGAACGAGGGGGAGAGTGGTAGCCGGTGTGGTCGTTGTGTGGGGGGATCCTGACGCGCATCGGGCAAAATGAGGTCTTGCGCACCTCCTCAGAAGGTCGGCGCACGGCGGGAAGTCCCTCCCCGGGAAAAGGACCTTGGGGGCTCTGCAGTCGGGTCTCGCCGCGCGTGCTGGAAGGCCCCCGCCTAGGGCGGGCCTGTCCCCCATACAGGCGGATTCGGGGCGAAAAATCCAAAGTACGGAGAACCAAAAAAAATAGCAGCAACAGCAAAATTCTCCAAAAATCGTCCCCTGACTATTTCTAGACTATTTCTGAACATCCCTCCCGTCAGAGGGACCGGCCCGACTTGAGCCCACGCACAGGCCGCGCGGCAAGGTTGCAGAGGCGACCCCCAGGGTCAGAGTCCTGGAGGGGGCGAGCAGCCACCTGCACGGAGGGGAGACTGGAGGCTTGGGTCGGGCCTGTCCCCCTGCAGGGGAGACCGTGGGCCGAAGAGCTGCAAATGCTCAAAAAGTATGCCCAGAATGCTCAAGAAGATGAAGCGAAAATCGTCCCCGGACTATCGTCCCAGACATCCGACGTCTCGATTTCTTCGAGACACGGGCCTCCGACCTCCCGACCACTTCCCTGGGACCGGTTTTTCATCCCGAGTCGTTTTTTGACGGTCCCGAGGCCCGGCGAGGGCCCCGAGAGGCCAAAAACTACGAAAAACTCCGTCTCGATTTTTTCGAGGCGCCCGATGTCTGGGGGGGTCTGGGGTTGGACTATGCTTGAGCATCCCGCCTGCAGAGGGACGGGCCCGATTTACCTGCAGGCAGCCTTTGCCAGGCTAAGGTCGCAGAGAGGGCCATCCACGCGCACGTCGGGGCGACATGGCAAGGACCAAGGCCCCGCAGGGAAGCGGGGGCGTAGAGTTAGGTCGGGCCTGTCCCCCTACGGGGGGAGTTGGGGCGAAAAATCTAAAAATGCTCAAAACATACGCCCAAAATGCTCACAAATGGTCCAACAAAAAAATGCCCAGGCTATGTTTTGACTATTTCTGAACATTCCCCCTGTAGAGGGACGGGCCCGACTCAAGCGTAGAGGGCAAGCGCTGGACGGAGATGGTTCTGGCGCGGGGGACTTGGGGCCCCTTTCTCGGGGGCGCGCAGACATGGATTGGCGATCCATGGATTTGGCGCGCTGTCGCCAAAGCCACGGATCGGGGGAGGCGCCCTCCCCCAAGTGCGGCCGGCGCCGCCTCGGCGGCGGAAAGGCGCGATTCCCCGTGGAAACGGGACCCGTCGCTAACCCCCTTGATCTATTTTCGCGATCGCCTGACTTTGAAGGGCCCCTGAGACAAACAAGTAAATAGACACGAATAACAGTATTCCCCATATATTGTCCCATATCTTCTGGGTTCTTGTCTCCCCCCCCACTTCCCAGATTTCCCCATCTTCTGGGGAATCGACGATTCATTGTGCCCGTGTGTTTTATCCCCCTCCTGAGACTCTCGCCCGCTCGCGCCGGGCGGGGCGGCAGAAGCGCGACGCAGACGCACCGGACGGCGCCGGGCGTGGGGGCCCTGGGCCGTGCTCGAGGTCCTCGCTCTCGGCCGACCGGCGCGCGGGCGGGCCGAAGCCCTCGTCGCCGCTCGCCCGCTCCGCTCCAACCCACGGGGGGGGGGGCCCTTCGGACCCAGACCCCCTCGAGTCATGAAAACATCACGACGCAAGGTCTTTCGCTGTTTTCGGCCTCTGGGGGCCCTTGCCCTCAGGACCGTCAAAAAACAACTCAGGACGAAAAGCCGGTCCCAGGGAATGGGTCCGGACCTCTGGGGGTCGCGTCATGAAAAAATCATGACGTCGGGGGTCTGAGGACGGAGAGGCGGGGAGGGACGGGCGAGGGGAAGCGGGCGCCGTCCTCGATCTGACCGGCCGGCGGCGGGGGAAGGAGGAGGTCCGGCCTGTCCGCGCCCGCGGGCCCCCCTGGGGGCTCTCCACTCGGACCTGCCAGAGCACCCCAAACCAACCCGGAAGGCAAAAGATTCGGGTTGGGCGGGGGGGTACGGGTGCCACATGTGTTTTTGTCGGTGTTCCCCGACGCCCTCCCTCTCCCTGGGAATGGGGGCAGATTGGGTCCTTCGGGGTGGGTTGGGGTGGCTTGGCGGACGGTGAAGAGCAGGACCAGGAGAGCCCAGAATCGAATCGACGAGTCGAATCGGCGATCGAAAATGAATCCGATCGGCGGAAATCGGCAGCCGAGTCGGAAAACGTCGACGGAAATCGGCAGGCCAGTAGGCCTCGGTTGGGAAATGGGAGCCCAAATCGAAATCCGAAACCGAGTCGAATCGGCATCGGAAGCAACCGAAGCCGAATCGAATCGAATCGGAGGAACCGAAACGAGCCTTGGGCTTGGTGGGTGGTGAAGAACAGGCCCCCGGGAAGGCCTCCGAGCGGCCGCACCTCCAGCGGCCCTCCCGGGCGGGCCAGGAAAGGGGTCCCCGGCACCAGCAGGGCGCCGCAGCCAGGTCACCGACCCGCGCCCGACCGAGGCCCACGACGATCCCGCGGGGCTCAGGACAACTACCTGCCCCTCCTCCTCCTCCTCCTCCTCCTCCTCCTCCTCCTCCTCCTCCTCGACGCGGAGATCCCCATGTGCGCATCTAACTGCCTGACACGTCCCGCTGTGAGCGCCTGGACGTTGTCTGGGTGTGAGAGCGACTCCATATGGACGACGGGTACGACGACGACGACGACGACGACGACGACGACGACGACGACGACGACGACGACGGCGGCGGCGGCGGCGGCGGCGGCGGCGGCGACGACGACGACGACGACAACGGCGGCGGCTACGATGAGGGACAGCGCCGACTACGACAACAACTCACGAACAGGCTGTGAGCAGGTCCCTCCCTTTGTTTTCCTTTTCCTCCTCGTCGTACCCCTCCTTGCTCTTCCTCTTTTCTCCCGTGTCCCTCCTCCTGGGTCCGCCTCTTCCCTCCTCCGTCCTCTCTCATCCTCCATGGCGGCCGTCCATGCCTCTTCCCCCTGGCGTCCTCCTCCTTCCTCCCCCCCCTTTCTCCTGCGCTGCAACGCACGCCATTGGAGGCGCACCAAACTCATGAGGAGGAGGAGGAGGAGGAGGAGGAGGAGGAAGAAGAGGAGGAGGAGTTGGAGGAGTTGGAGGAGGAGGAGGAGGAGGAGGAGGAGGAGAAGGTGGAGTTGGAGGAGGAAGGAGAGGAGGAGGAGAAGGAGAAGGAGTAGGAAGGGGAGGAGGAGGCGGAGGAGGAGGCGGAGGAGGAAGAGATCTGCCTCCGTGCCGTCGGGTCCGACGAGGCGCCGCATGGCGCGGCCAGCCGCTCCGACTCGCGGCGACGGCTGAAACACTCTTGGGGCCCACGCTGGCTAACATTAGGTCGGGCGTGGGGGATTTTGGACGAAAATTAAAAAATACTGAAAAAGACTCGAAAATCATCAAAAATGGTTTTAAAAAGATCGCCCCTAGTTTATGTGTAACTACTTTTGAATATTCCCCATGTAGAGGCACAAGCCCGACTGAAGGCCAACATCTTCATGTCGGCTCGCACCGAACCGGCCGGTGAGCAGCCCTGCCTGGGCTCTGGAGGCACGGCACGGAGGTCGCCCCGGGCGCGAGACCCGTCCCGGTGATCCTCGGAGCGCCGCTGACGCCGCCGTGTGCCCGTCCACCGAAGCCCCTCCAATACGACACAGGCGATGCAAAGAGAGCCGACACGGGCTGCGTGCTATCGGTGCAGCCGCACGGGGCAACACACACACACACACACACATCGATTGACCTAGCACACGTCCTGAGGATCGACGATCAGCTGGAGGAAGAGCACGATGACTGGGACGAGGGAGAGAGGTAACGGAGGAGGAAGGGTAGGGGGAGGAGGGGGAGGAAATGGGCATGGAAATGGATAAAACGCGTAGCGTCAAATATGAAGTACTGCACGTCGAGGCCTCTGGCTACCCTCTCTCTCTATATCTTTCTCTCCGAGAGAGAACCTTGGGCCAGAGCCCCGACGCGATCCCAGAGAGGCACGGTCGCGCGGCATCTCTAGGGTGCACGGTTTCCCCCGGGGCCGTAGGCGACCCGAGGAGAAGGAGGAGGAGGAGGAGGAGGAGGAGGAGGAGGGAGGGGGAGGAGGAGGGGGAGGAGATGGAGGAGGAGGAGGAGGAGGAGGAGGAGGAGGAGGAGGAGGAGGGAGGAGGGGGAGGAGAAAGAGGAGAGGAGGAGGAGGAGGAGGAGGAGGAGGAGGAGGAGGAGGGAGGAGGAGGAGGAGGAGGAGGAGGGAGGAGGAGGAGGAGGAGGAGGAGGAGGAGGAGGAGGAGAGGAGGAGGAGGAGGAGGAGGACGGAGGGAGGAGGAGGAGGAGGAGGAGGAGGAGGAGGAGGAGGAGGAGGAGGAGAGGAGGAGGAGGAGGAGGAGGAGGAGGAGGAGGAGGAGAGGAGGAGGAGGAGGAGGAGGAGGAGGAGGAGGAGGAAGGAAGGGGAGGAGGAGGAGGAGGAGGAGGAGGAGGAGGAGGAGGAGGAGGAGGAGAGGGAGGAGGAGAAGGAGGAGAGGAGGGGGGGGAGGAGTAGAGAGTAGGTAGGAGTAGGAGTAGGAGTAGGAGTAGGAGTAGGAGTAGGGAGTAGGAGTAGGAGTAGAGTAGGAGTAGGAGTAGGAGTAGGAGTAGGAGTAGGAGTAGGAGAGTAGGAGGAGGAGGAGGAGGGGAGGAGGAGGGGGAGGAGGAGGGAGAGGAGGAGGAGGAGGAGGAGGAGGGGGGAGGAGGAGGAGGAGGAGGAGGAGGAGGAGGAGGAGGAGGAGTCGGCTAAGCCCTTCGGAGAGACCCTCCCCTGCAGGGCTCCCGCCGCGCTCGCCCCTCAGAGAGCGAAGCTGCCGGCGGCGAGCAGAGAGCGAGCGGGCACGCCGAGGCGCCCCCCCGCGCGCCGGCCTTGTCGAGGAGGCTTACTAGGTCCTGCGGCAGAGGAAACATCGGGGAGGGACAGAACCCCCTTTCGCACAACGCGGTTTATGGGGAAGCCAAAAAGGCACCGATTCCGCTATAGTCCCCGGACTTCTCCTGGGGTGCGTTCTGACCAGGATTTCGAGGCGATCCACCGGTGACGACGACGGAGGCCCAGGAGGCCAAAAAAGGGGAAAACGAGGGGAGGGTAGAGGTGTCGGTACCTTTTCCTCCTGCGGCAGAGGAAACATCGGGGAAGGACAGAACCCCCTTTCGCAAACCGTGGTTTCACGGGGAAGCCAACAGGTACCGATACCGCTACTCCCCGGACCTCTCCAGGGGTGCGTTCTGACCAGGATTTCGAGGCGGTCCAGCGGTGGCGACGACGGAGGCCCAGGAGGCCCGAAAAGGGGAAAACGAGGGGAGGGTAGAGGTATTGGTAACGTTTCCTCCTCCGAGTTTAATGAAGACGACCTCGGGCCCAAACCTGGCGGGCGCAAGCCTGGAAAAGGACGGCCGCGGTGCGCTCTCGAACACCGAAGACGGAGAATTCACTCATCGACGTGTCGGGTGCGAGGCAGGGGCTTTGGCCAAATCCACCGCCTGGGAACCGACGCCCGCGTGCCCCAGCGGGCGGCGGATATGGACATATATTTCGGCCCCCGGGGGCCCGAACATGTCCATGTCCACCGCCTGGCCGAGACTCCGAAAACTGACCCTCCAGGCGGTGGTCTTGCAGAGATTCCCGCCTCGGATCAGGGCGGTGGTTGTCCACCCCCGAGAGCAGGGCCGAACCTAAACGATGTTTTTCGTGTTCGTCTTGTTTTCGTTTTCCCTCGCTTTTGTCTCGAATCCGCCTTAAAACGAAGTCGAAGCGAAGACGACCCACGAAATCGTCAACGAAAGTCGACGAGGTCCAGCCCTGCTAGAACAAAACGAGAGGAACATGGCCTGTCGGAGGTCCGCGCGGGCACTCCCTGGAGATCGGTGGTGGGGCTTGGCGGCGCGCACAAGGGGGTAGGGGGAGGGGGGAAGGCTTCTTAGAAGGAGGCTGCTTCTTAGAAGGCGCGGGCCTTACATCTGCAGACAAGGCCGGCGCCTTCTAAGGAGCAGGGGTGCTTCCAAGAAGCCTTCCCCCCTCCCCCTACCCCCCTCTGCGCGTTGCCAAGGGGCCCCCTTCGCCCTTCTGGCCGGCGCGCCAGGGAGGGACCCGGCGCGCCGATCCCCAGAGAAGTCGGTCCACCCGGGGGCCTCCGAGAGCGCCCAGCAGGGCTGGGCCTCAGCGTTGTCTGTCGTGTTGTCCTCGTTTTGTGCTTCGATTTTCTCCGCCCGTTTTCCTGTGCCTCCCTCCCCAGAACGAGAATCGGGGATCTTCTGACCCTGGTCAGTCCAGACCCGGGTCAGCAGGAAACCCAAAACACTGCGATGCAGGACACAAAAAAACTGTAGCGCAGGTCTTCGCAAACCCAGGTCAGTCAATATGCGCGGCCGCCTCGCGGCCACGAGCGTCTCGGTCAGCCAAAAGGGGTCTTCGCAGGATCCCGCAAGGTCTGGCGCCCTTGCTGACCCCCGTTTGCATTGACCCACGTCTCAAGGCTCCCGAGAGAAACAGAACACAGCCGAAGTCCAGCAAAACAGCGCTTGGGTCCGGCCCTGGCGTATGGTGAACGTTCTCGTGTTGGGCGTCTCGACAGTGGGCGGAAGGGGGGGGGAGGTCTGAGGTCTGGCTCCGGACCTCTGCTCAGATGGGGGAGGCCCATCTGCTTAAGAAGCAGGCGCCAAAAAAGCAGCCACGGGGGGGGGGGGGAGGGGTGCGAGGGCCCGCGCCGATCTGCAGACCAAGGCATCAGAAAACCGTCACGGTCGGAGGCTGAGCGAGGGCTGGCACATCCGTGGCTGCTGAAACGGTGTTCCCGGACAAAAACACACAACAAAAACTCACCGCACAAAATAGTACAGGGCAGTTTTTTTTATACATGGGAGTGCTACATATATATGATGAAAAATATTTGATGTTAACACATGATTCATGCATGAATAAATTTATGCATGAGCTCCTCGTTGTTTTAGTACTAATCCCTGCATGTTTAATACATGATCCGCACGCGGAGCATGTATTAAAAACGGCACTGTACACGGGCTACTCCCCGGGAACAACAAAAAAACAACTTCCCAGGGCTCCGTGCTGGCGGCCACGGGCGTGCCGGCCTGCGCCTGGCTCCTGACCCTATGGACATGCGACGCCCTGATCTTCCAGGACGGCGCCCCCGGAAAACCAGACCCTGCCCTGACGCCAGATCCGCCCTACTTTGAGTATTTTTCCAACGCGTCGGAAATCCACCTATAAGAAGCCGAAAAAGTAGGGCGGAAATTTCTGCACCCAACATAAAGTAGGGCGGAAATTGATGCCGCCGCAAGAGTTGAGTTCTGTGTTTCGGGGAACCAGGGGGGGCTGGGGCAGGGTGAGAGGGAAGAAGGGTGGAAAGGGGGGGGGGGAGGGGGAGGAGGGAGGAGGGAGGAGGGGGGATGGGGATGGAGGAGGGGAAGACGGGGGGGAGGAGGGGAGGGGAGGAGGGAGGGGGGGAGAAGGATGGGGGGGGGGATGGAGAGAGGGAGCGAGGGGGATGGGGGATGGAGAAGGGGGGAAAGGGACGAGAGAACACCCCGTCGACTGCATACATATGTGTATGCAAGCATATATGTCGATATGTGTGTATATGTGTGTGTAAATATACACGCACCAACATGCACCCAATACCTACACGAATGCATGGGTACACTACACTTGTACATACATATATGTATGGCCCCTGACTCTGTTGACCATCATTTCGGCGCCGCCCTCCGACTGATCGCACTTCGCCGCAAGCAAGGCCGCGGCAAATTTCGGCGCACCCCTCGCACGGATCGCGCCCCGCGGGCCTGCGACCCCCCTCGGCGCACACCTCGCGCGGATCTTGCCCAGCGGGGCTGCAGGGGGCGACGGGTTGCCGGCAGGCATCTGAATGGGGACATGCCGCAAGGCATCTGAAAAAGAAGTGCCAAGGCATCTGAATGGGGACATGCCGCAAGGCATCTGAATGGGGACATGCCGCAAGGCATCTGAATGGGGACATGCCGCAAGGCATCTGAATGGGGACATGCCGCAAGGCATCTGAATGGGGACATGCCGCAAGGCATCTGAATGGGAATATGCCGAGAGGCATCTGGATGGAGAATGGGGATGCGCCGACAGGCATCCGAAGAAAAGGAGGAGGAGGGAGGAGGTGGGCGGTTTTCCTTGGGACCTGAGTGGACAGCGCCAACCGCGCCCCGCGCCAGCTTGATACACGCGGACAACGCACAACGTGCTTGGCACGCGCGGCAACGCGTATCAAGCTGGAGCGGCGCGCGGTTGGCGTCGCCCACGAAAAAAAAAAGGGGGGCGAGGCCCTCTCGACCGCGTGGCCCCCTCGGGCGCAATGCCCTAAGAAGAGGGGCCACCTCCCCCTTCCGCCCATCCAAATGGAGGGGCGGAAGGGCAGAGTGGCGAGGAGCCTCTGAGCGGCAGAGGCCAGCTGCCAGTCGGGCCGCGGGGGACTGCACCCCAAAATGGGCATGCAGCCGGGGAGAAGCCCTTCCCATCCCTGCCATCCGTCGAGGGGGGAAAGAAGGGCTGCTCCCAACCCCCGCGGTCGCCGGGCTTCCGCCGACTTGCCATGCCTTTACCCCCATACGACGCCCGAGGAGTAGAAGTAGGGAGAGGATGCCAGCCAACCAACCAACCAACCATCCGACCAACACGACCAGTCAATCGACCAGCCAACCAACTTCAACCAACCAGCCGACAGCCCGCCACGGCCAGACGGGCCAGAGCCCTCCAACCAGCCAGCCAACGCAGCCAGCGCAGCGATTAACCAACCAACCAGCGCAACCAACCAACCAACCAACCAACCCAAGCGAGAGCCCCTGGGCCCCTCTGGAAACCCTGAGCACTGAGGACCTCGGAGCGCCGCAGGAGGCCAGAAGGGGCGCCCGGGGGTGGGACCCAACGGGGCCCATGTGATGGGGGGGCGGCGGCGAGGGGCGGCGGCGAGGCGGCGGCCTCGAGAGAGGAGCCGCAAACCCAGAGATACCATGTACCATGTCTGCGGGTCTCGGCCCTGGCAGCCCACAAGAGTGCAATGGAGTTCAGACGCCAAGGCGGAGATGCAGTGGACTCGGCATCCCCGATTCCGCGGCCCCCCCCCCGCTTCGAAACTGCCGTTGACGGTGATTGGTTTACAACGTGACACGCTCGCTCGCACTTGAACCTCCCTTCAAAGACGGCCTGGCACCTAAGGGGCACAATGGGAAGCACTCAACCGACCGAGGAATGACATGAAGAAAGGGGAGAGAGAGAGAGAGAGAGAGAGAGAGAGAGAGAGAGAGAGAGAAGAGCGAGGCATAACTCCTGCTGCCCTCCAGCCCCCCAGCTCCTGGGGCGGGGGGCGGGGGCAGTCGGCGCTAAATCCCCTCCCGGCCAGGAAGCCCTCCAGCAAGTTTCCAATCGAAAGTGGCTGGCGTCACACTTTCCTGCAAGAGTGGCAATGCGTCCGCGGCGGCGCCGGCACGGAAGGGGGCGGCCGGGCGGACTGCGGAGGCCGAAGAGAAGAGGGGGGGGTGGATGGGGCCTGTCTCTTGCTATTGGCAGCAGGGCAGAGAGGAGAGCGAAGAGAAGTCGAGAGTCGCCGAGGTCCGAGGGCCTGCCAAAGAACTCCAATGCAAAAGTGGAGATGCCCCAGGATCGCGACTCAGCTGCTTGCCTGGGGGCAACGCCCTCCCATCGCCGAGGCAGCGAAGCAATCCAGAAACCAACAGGCTCTGCGGCCCCGCCCCTCGACTCGAGCGACAGCCCCTGCCAAACATAAATCATCCTGGGGCCTCCTCTCCCGGCGGACTGAAAACTCAGGAAGGCCCCGAAACCCATGATCCCAAGGTCTCGGGGCGGGGGTCGGCCAAAAACCGAGATCGAAGAAAAAGGATAACTCATG